AGGGCCGGGCAGGTTGGCACAGTCTCTGGTCGCGTATTCTCCTTTTCGCGTGTCCAACCTGTTTCAGGAAATCTAATTTGAAAAATCGACAGTAAAACTGGTACAAATGGAGCATGCCACTTGTTTCTGGGTTTACTCTTCGATTTTTCGAATTTAGTATCGCGGTCGTGGTCGCGGTTAGGTCGCGAATAGGTCCCGAAACGAACGTTCATGTAGGTATTGCTCGAGCACGCACGTGCGAACGAACAACGATTACTGTGATCGATGGTCGTCCATGTGTAATCAGCTTTCGCGATTTATATTATTATTTCACCTTTGTAAGTTACTTTTGGGTTTGCGATTAGAAAGACTCGAGCTAAATGTAAGTTTCAGCGGGCATTGCGCTCGAAGAAAGAAGAGGCCCGGCAAACTGCCACGAAGAGGGTCACAACAAATGACGTCTCATCCTCTGGATCATTTAAATGATTTCATAGCATGGGAGGTCATTCTAGTTACTACTTTGTCACTATGCTCTTTTAGTATTTGTAGTTGTATTCTTTTTTTTCTTCTCCATCATCGTTTCGGGCTAATCGCGATTTTTCTAGTGTTGCGAAAGACTGACCACGGTTGAATTAGAGTTGCAGAGAAATGATAATCGTGTTTGCTTTAGAGTTGCGAATTATGATACCGCGATTGTTTTTCCCAATTTTCATAATTGCCTTAGTGTCATATAAATTTATCTTGCTCTCTGTTGTTTTAAATTATGTTATAGAATCATTGCTTTTAATTTATTTTAAAATGTTAGAATATTCAAAGTAGCCTTTTCTTCGTATAATAGCTTTTGTATTGTTCATAATAATTTTCATTGAATTTAGTTTTAGAGTTAGTGTTGCGACATTATTTCATCGCGATTTCCAATTATTTTTATTCCTAGTGTTGCGATATTGTTCCTTCGCGATTTCTAATTAGTTTTTCTGTAATTGTTAGTGTTGCGATAATGAATGATCGCGTTTCTTGAAGTAACGTTGCGTTTATAAAATGCCCAACTTCTTCCACTACATTTGTGGAAGGTTGTTCCTGCACCTGGATCACCTAATGCAGCTACAAGAGCTGTACAAAGGTGGTCATTCATCAGCAATCTCCAACATGGTTGCATTGGACGTGTCGTAATTAGTGTTGCGCATTTTTAAGCACGAGTGCACAGATTGATAGCGTTGCGTATTATTTTCGGAAGTTTTAAATATGACGAAGCACTCTTCGCGTTTGATTTTGAAAATTTGCTATTTCATAATTAGTACTACTAAAGAGTAAGTGTTGCGAAACAAGATACGGTTTGTTGTTCGCGTTCATTTCGTATATAGATTTGACAATAGCCGTTCTGGTTATTGTACTGACTATTGAGTGAAAAATGTTCTCTCATTTTCATTGGAAAATACGTGGTCTATTCATACCTTGTCTTTTCCAAGCAACAGCAAGATTCCTCGATCCTAGTTTCAAGCAGTTTCATTCAACTTTAATCGCATGGCCGGTTTCCGAATTCGAACGACTGCCACGCATCGTTCCCAATGATCGACAATTATGTATCCGGCTGTACCGAACGGTTATACGAGACACGTGCAACATTAACGACGGTCGACGCAATCGATCATTCCCGTGAAATTCATAGACAACCCTTTGTCACGCGGCCCAGTTGTTCATTGTTCGATCGCGAATAATTATTTCGGTCAACATTCGCCTATTAATAAATGTCATAATTATCAGTTTCACTCTGTCGGATCAACTTGTCAATCAGTGACGGAATTCTATCGATCCTGAAGCCGTGCAATTCTGTTTCCGCATCGACACCTGTTTGCCTGGGAAAGTTTGCCACGGCCTGGCGTCGAAGTTTGATTAACGTTCTTCGTCGAATAAACAGAAACAGGAACAAAGAAAAAAAGAAAATAATCAAACGAACGGATATCAACTGAACAAACTGAGAATATAAATAAATATACATCGTTCGTGAGAAAACAAAGAGTATCAGCAAATAAATAAAAGAGAAAACAAAAAAATTGGAAATGTATGCAGCGCAGATAAATTTCGAAAGTTTGAACAAGAAGTATGAGAAAGGGATTTATCGCGTAATATTTTACAAATAGTTGTTTGTCCTACGATATTTGGCATTTCGTTTTATCAGTCGTGAAGTATTTGTTTAGGTCGTTTGTCTTTTTATTGAGTGTATTCTGGATTTTCTAGCGTTGCTTTTTAATTAGTTCACCAAACTTACCCTGAAGAACTAGTGTTAATAGAATTTGGAATGTAGTATCATATAAAATAGAATAAAACAGAATGTAAATTTAAAAAATTCGTATTTATCATAGATTTACATACTAATGAATTTAACCTTTTAGTTTTAATTGGCTTTATTTCTCATTTTACAATAGATATTAAATTATTACAATCATGCAATATAATAATATGTAACCAGGTATATGAGACCTGATAGAAAAAATTATCCTCTCTTCTTACTGAAACTCATTCCAGAATGCTACCTTCGAAATTCAATTCAAAGTTGACAAAACTGAAACGAAAAATCTCGAGGAAAGTGATTTATTGACATTTTATTTTCAATATTAACCAAGTCCTGTACATAATTACAAATTAATTAATTTTCATTCCCCTTTTCTTTGGTCCGTTTAATTTCCTCTAGTTTAAACTAGATTCCTTCTTTCATATCTGGTTACATATTATTATATTGCATGATTGTAATAATTTAATATCTACTGTAAAATGAAAGATGAAACCAATTAAAACTAAAAAGATGTCTAATATCTACTGTAAAATGAAACATGAAACCAATTAAAGCTAAAAGGATTAAAAAAAAAAAAAAAGAATAGAGTGCGTGCAAATAGCAATATATAATTTCTACAGTCACTGTACTAAAAGACAATAATCCATGACATAACAAAGCACAAGGGAATTAAACTTAGGAAGCACGCACATTTTTCATTCAATCAGTGAATGTATGATGTGATCCTTAAAGCGGATCACGTACTGATCCTTTTGTATTCCGCGAATAAATTCATTTTCGACGACCGTTGATAGACAAACGGTTAATTCATGTAGATTGGTGTTAATTCTTGTGGATTACACGCGATTTGCTAGTCTATCATGTTTCGAATCGCTTTAACGATCGTCTGAATAAACAGATATATCGATGCCTGTACAAATGTTTGTGAAAAATGTTTTTTGAAGTCCGTTTCACTTTATAGATTCGACATCTTTTAATAACAAGTTGTTCTTCGCGATTTTGCTCTCTATCTTGCCTGTTCCGTAGAAAACATTTTCTGCGTATGATTTTGAATATTTCTGTCCTTCTTCCTTTTTCTCTCGCTTCACGTTGAAGCGTTTCGTCGATTTTCCACTCAAAACTGCCGAATGTGTCGTTGAAAAACATTTCAAAACCAGATGTGCCGATTGGACCGCTGTCGGAGATCATGTAATTTCATTCGGGATCATTCGTCAAAATGCTCGAAACAACTATCGCGCTGGCGGTATTTCGACCGGCAGTCGAACGCAGTCTGTGCTCGAATTCCAAGTGAAACGCGGCTGAGTACATAGGGGCAAAAAGGGCATGTTCTGGTGAAAAAAATAAAAAATAAATAAATAAAAAATTAAAAAAAAAAGAGGAAATCAAACGAACTGTCGGCGCGTTTTGACACCGAATTGAAACTCGATTTTGGAACAGTTGCCTGGTGTTTGTCTTTGTTGGAATTTAAAACCATTCGTATCGATAAATTGTACAACCGTACGATTTTCGATAACCAAATCAAAGTTGAATCGGGGAGAAATGAAAGGGAAGAGTGGAGTTATTTAACGATAAGCCCAATTGAATTGGCAAATTGAAGACCGGTGTATATCCAAAAGTTTCGAGATAAAGGGTAGTTTAGCTCTTGTGTACCGTTAATATCGTTTGTACGATGTATCGTTTTTTACACCGGTGTTGCAGTTTAAATGCAATCGTGTGTTGATTCGGATATTCATGCTGCAGTTGAACTTTATTCATGAGTTTTTTCTTATGATTTAAATGAAATCATTAGACTTGCACTGTTTTTGACATTCAAATCACTTTTTAGTCAGAAAATCAAATCGAGAAGATTATTTATTGATGTATTTAGAAGATAAAAATTAATTACGAACGATTATTGTTCAAATATCAGCGTGCTTGAAATAAAAATAAAGAACAATGCTCCGTGATTAAAGCAAAAATTAATTATGAAAAAAAAATAACATATCAACGTGCTTAAAATAAAAATGAAAAATTAAGTTTAACTGTACTTTAATCATTTTTCTGAGTAGTAATAGTTCTCTATCAAAAGACAGATAAATTGCAAGTGATTAATGAATGATAAAAAAAAGGAGAACAGTAGAAATTCAAAGACATTACGGATACTGCTTTTGCATTTTTAACTTTTACTGTTTTATTTCCTTGTACTGAACGTGTAGTTTGATATTTCCATATTTTTATTCAAACGTTAAATATACGTAATATTAATGTTATAATGCGAGTATTACATCTGATATTCCTAATATTATAATGTAACGTGTAATAATTAACATTAATACTATAATACCAAGTATACGCTAATTTTGATCTTTCACTGTTCTCCAATTCACCGATTCAGTTAATCCAATTTGCTCTTCGATAACGTTTGCCAATTTCTCGGTAAAAATTCTATTCACCGTGCGACGTGTAAAGAAACGCGAGGTCAGAGTTCGCGCCAAGTTTCACTGAAATCGTAATATTCAAACCTCGATGATGAATTTAACGGCGGTGGACGTTTCATTAGGAGAAATCAGGGAGCATCAAGGGCAACGAATTTGCATGTACTTTAGGGTGAAACGCGCCAAAGGAGCGAAAGCATCTTCCACGAGTCGGTATTAAACCGAGCTTGGTTAAAAGGGCGTTCGTCTCTCTCTAATTTTCATCGGCGTGTGTGATACATGTGGGACAGAATGTCGGTCGAACGATGAATACTTACGAACGTGGTGAACATGTAGTGGTATCTGTAATCGTTCATTTGCAGCTGGAGGATCTGCAACAGGAAAGGGAAAAGCGAAAATTAGACGTGTAATTATCGTGTGGACGCAGACCTTCGCGCTTTTCGAGGATTCCGTGTGTTTAGCTCACTTTGTCTCATGACGTTAGATTAGTTGCTCCAATATTTGCGAAAGTGATAGCTTCAATGATTTTTTTTTCTCCAAAATTGCGAGTTTGACATTTGTGAAAATGTGGAGAGCTTCGGTAGTTGTAAATATCAGTGGTTGGTTCAATATTTGGAAAGATATTAGGAATTAGGTCGCAGAAGAATAATGGTAACTTCGACGTTTGTGGAAATATTTCTGTAGATCGTAACTTTGATATTTGTGATGTAGTATAGTTTCAATATTTGACAGGTTTCGTATTTGTGAAAATGACGTCCTCAATAGTTGCAAAAATGATAGGTTTGATATTTATAAAGACAGTACTTTCAACAAATGCGAAAATGGTATTTTCAATATTTGCGAAAACCTTCAAATTTTATTAAAACCTCGTATGATATTGAAAACCGCGCGTTGTTCGAATTCAATATTTATAAAAATATACTCAATAATTTTAACTGCATCTCTTTTTCTGAATCCATTTTATTCATATAATGGAATATTAAAATTTCTGAGTGATTCCAACTCAATTTCCAGGAGCTGTAAAATATTTATAGAGATACACTCAATTTTAATTTTAACTTCTTCTCACACTGATTTTAATCGTACAGTAAAATCTTAAAAATTGCAGGCGGTCCCAATTAAAATATTTGTTGGCGTGTACCTCGTAACTTTAATTGTATTCCTCTTTTTTTCTTCGTTAATCATTGCAAGAAACCGACGGATAGAAACGATCGTGGGGGATGAATCCCACGCTCGATCCTCGAGTCTCCTTGCCTCCGATCGAGAGGCAATCTTAGTTCAAACGTGGTTCGAAGGAAACCGAGTATTTGCATGTCCCGTCCCGTGGGAGATTCCTGCGGATATCCCTTCGTGGCTTGAGTAATCAAAAAACCTCCCAGCTTTCGTACGATCCTCTCCGCCACCCATTTTCCTAGCCTCGCCGTCTCCACCCTTTGTGCGTTCAACTCTCCATCTTGCTTGTTTTCCTTTCGTTCTTCGTTTTTTTACCCCTCCTCCCACCACCACCGCCTTAATCTCCTATCCCTTTTTCTCGAGGAAATCCGTGCACGTTCCCATTTATGCGAATGCTTTCCGACTTCAAATCACAACTTCCGTTGACTCGTGAGATTAAGAGTATGAAAAAGAGACGGAGAACGATTCGAGGATAATTATGACAACCAAATGTTCCATCTTTGGTACGCTGCCGCCCGAAAATTCTAGGACGTTTTTTATTTTTAATATCGAGCATTTATCGTGGATAGTAAAATTTTTTCTTATCAGTTTCTCTTTTCTTTTATGGTGTTTAGCGTAGCGTCGACTACGAGGTAAGACGACGGTCCTTAGTAATTATACTAATTGTAAGTAATTTACTTTATTTAGTAATTACAGATGTACGAGTAGAGGTATTTCAAAACCTTCAAATTTATTTTTGTCAGTTGTTGTATTTTATAATATAATATTAATCATTACAAAGTAATACAATATTGATACGATATAACATAACATTCATTGTGTTTGCAGATCGTTTGTTACAAGAAAAATAGCTTCATTTTTTGTTAGTTTTGGAATAAATATAACGATTGTTCTGAAACTTTTAAACGGAAATGTATATATCGAGCAGCAGAGATTCTTTCCCGAGTATAAAAGAATAACACGCTTTTTTACTTCTAATACTAGAACTACCCACTGAAGCAGGAAAATTGCAGTATAAGGGACAGAGAAAGTTTTATAACATAATAAAAAACACGAGCTTTCATTTATATATTTTACTAAGTTTTTGAAAACACTGTTTCTGAAAAATTTCCGTGGAAAGTTACGAATCGATCATTTGGTAGTTCTAGCGTTAATAAAAGAAATATATGAAGTACAGCTTTCGTTTTAGAATTTCTATAACTTTAAATAGAAAATGAAATAGTACCGATAAAATATTGGAAAACTTTGTTTCCCTTTGACTCTAACATTAAATGTCGTAGGCCGTAAAGTTTAGAATTTAAAATTATACGTAATCATCGCAAGTTTTAATTCAATTCAATTTCAATTCAATTACCAACTTCAGTCACGCAGAATACAGAGTAGAATTAACTTTCGCGATCGAACGTAAATTATTACAGTCGTCTATTACAGTCGACAGCAGATAATACTCAAGGGTGAAATATTTACATTTCAAATATTTCCACGCATAAACGTATCATCGCGATTTTATGAACTTACTTTACGAACGACGAAGGTGGAAAACGTCTCGACGGAGAGATATGAAAACACTCGTGGGCTTTTTATTACCAATGGATCTCATACCGAATCTTGTTGCTCTCCTTTTTCCACGTGCACGCGGACACGGGCACTCCGTTGATACAGAAAGTTCCGTTTAAACAAATAATCCGTCAGTTTCGTATTCCGCCGGCGAAAACTCATTTCCCCGAGGAAAATGAGTTTTTTTTTGTACCACCATCGACCACGGGCGATCGTTGATACGACCCACGTTTCAATCATTAGGATACTCGCTCGCGCGATGCGTTGCAACCAGGAACACCGTAGAAATTCAATTAACCAACGACTGTTGCTTTTGGCAACATCGATCGCGTTAAACGCGAGACGAATTAACCCATTCATTTCTGTTTCTATCATGCATTCTCCTTCCTCCAAAAAAGCTGGCGCTTTTTCGATAGTTTCAAACGATTCAGAAAATCGAAGCCTCTGTTAAACACACTCGTCACGACAGAAAATAAAATGTTTTATACGCTGAATTCCTTTCTTTTTTTTTTTTTTTTTTTTTTTTTTTTTTTTTAAAAACTCAAAATTCCCTCGAAATTGGAGAAAAATTTTTTTTTTTTTTTTGTTTATTATGTTAAACACGGCAGTTCATTTTTTTTCCGAACGGGACGAACTGTGGCTGAGGGGCAACAACTTTTATTATTTTTTTCGGGGCGAGTAAGCTTTCGCCACGTAAACTTTTAAGCTGAAAGGGGATTTTTACCGAGAGAAAAAAGGAATTAGCGTTTGGAGAAATGAAAATTTTTCACGTTTGATTTAATTGGAGGGAAGAGAAGAAAACTAGGGATATAGAAGAAAATATAATAGTTATAATTAGTGTGTAAAGAAATCAAATATCTTAGATTCTTGAAATTTTAGGACAAACATTTTAGTAATTTTTATATGAATTAATTACATATCAAACGGCCAAATTCTTAATAAAAATTTCGTATAAAAACGTACATATTTCATTCAACATTTTCGTTCATAGTTGAGAAAAAGTAATACATGTAGATCTTCTCTGGCATAATCTGTTACGTACAAGGTGATCAATTGTCTTCCGAATTAATCATTCATTTTGTAAAAAGTGTTCTGACATCTCATGCAAATATACGTACACGTATATCTCGAAGCTCGCGACAGATTTTCTTAAGTAGAACTAGATTCTCTTTAATTTAGTAATCAATTTAATTGGTTGATTGCACGATCAATATGCAATCGCAATTTGATTATAATTTTATTGACTGACCGATGCAATTATTGATCAGTTGATGATATGAATTGAAGTAACGAAGATAATTTCACGCGAGATCGAAATTGGTAATACAATCCTACACCTCATCATCATCATCATCACCATCACCATCACCATCACCATCATCATCACCATCGTCTCAATACGAAAACAGGTTCCAATTTGCGATAAAAAGCCTGTTAATTATTACGCGACATGGAAGCAATTACCTGTCGATTATAAACGAGAGTAATTTCTTCATTATTGCCTAACCGTTCCCGTTAATTCGTTTATTCGCGACTCGCGCGAAAGCCAATCACGCGTCAACTATTGTCTCGCGAAATTTGTTTTGTCGCGCGTATGAACTCTCCGGCTTGGAGGAAAAGAAAAAAAAACATGGAATCCGGAGGGGCTGTTTGGACACAGAACCTGGTGCAGGATGCCGTGCAATTTCCGCCGCGCCAATGCTTCCGTGGATTATGCAAATTTTCCCCGACACGGCGCTCAGTACAAGCGGATAAAAAGGTTGAAAATCGTGGAAAACACCGTCTACTCGTCCCGGGACGGCGCGGTGGTTTCCGTCGCGTCGATGACGACCAGCGGAATCTGTTCCAGGAAATATCGCGGCAAAATTTCGTCGATCTCGTCGGGAACGATATTCGTCGTTCGTCCGCAACGAACGTTTCGTTCGACACGCGTCCAAGCCGAAATCTTGCCTGTCGTTTCGCTATTGGCTCGTCATTTCATTGTACAGAGATTTTGTCTATAGGATTTTGATGGAAAGAGAAAGAGAGAGAGAGAGAGAGAGAGAGAGAGAGAGAGAGAGAGAGAGATAGCGGAGGTTACTCGTTTCGTTTTCATCGAAACCGGTATCGGGTGATATCGAGTTTGTTTTTTCTTTATCGAGCATTTGGATCCTCGCGCGAGATTTGTTTCGATTGTACGAGTATCTACGATATTTGAAGACCGTCCATGGAAAACACGTTCGTTTTGTTGGTTTCAGCGTTTGTCTTTTTTTTCTTTTATATTTGTTTCGTCCGAAAGTAACATTTTAACGTGCAGTTCAAAATTGAAAAAGAGAGTAACGCGTTAGGTTCAAAGATGTGAGTCTTTTGAAACTGGATACTTCATGATATTTTCGTATCGAGTAGTATTAGCGTATTAACTTCGTTGATTGATATTAATTTGTGTACGTAACGCGATTCAGCGTTCGAGATTTCTTTTTAAGACTTTTTAAGAAAAAATACATCGACAAGTAACTTTTTTTTTTTATATATAGATGAGAAGAGTTTCTTCTGGCGTGTTCATGGAATCCAGGGGCGAAATTCGTAAATTCGTTGGGGATATTGGTGGCGAGATGATGAGTCGTTCGCAGGAGCAATGACTTCTTAAAGCAGCTAAACAGAATTTTATAGAAAGACGGTACACCCAAGTCGTGCCAAGTCGCCTTAATATATTCGTTGAAAAATTGAGGATCTTCGCGATGGCTTTCCGGCGGTCTGGTCGCCGGAGCTGTCGCTGATAAAAAATTCCATCAACTCGTCGCAACTAAACGTCCTTCCTTTCCTTTCCTTTCTTTATTCGAAGAAAAAAGAGAAATAAAAGATAAAAAGCCGCGGAAAAAGCCTCGAATAAAAATTGAAAGGTTACCGCGAAACGCAATATGGAACAGAAGGTAGTCGCGCAATCGAATTCTCGCGTCGCTTTAGCGTTCCCCGATGGAACTCGAGGGCAAGCTTGATCGTGGCCACGCGTTCCGCACTTCTATTCTAATTCGTTCAGTTTGAACTACGTCAAATCACTTTTTTGACAGCCGCGAACAGGAATTTAAACGCGCGAAACGCATGTCGTTGTTCGTTAGACAAGCGAATTTCTCCTCGAAGACACTTTTCTATACGTTTCGCTGACTATTGTTTTCGTTTGATAGAGATTTCAGTTATCAGAGAGTGGCTGTGAAGAGTTTTCAGTAAAGTGGGAGTTTTGTCGGAAATCAAATATGAAGAACATCGTTATTTCAACTAATAAATAAATTAGTAGTCATAGAATTTTTTTTTGGAAGTCAATCAGTGTAAATTCTCATTTCTTAATAACTTGTGCCCATTCAAATATCCTTGACAATTTAATAATTTAATCATTATAGCATCAGTTGTTACAATTAAACTATTCCAATAATACAAAATTTTGGTGTGTTTGTCACTTTTAATGTAAAATTAGCTTCTAATTTCTCCAAATATTGATACAAAAGGTGTGTCTACAAACATCAACAAATATCTTCTATTTTGATTTTTCTTTTATTCCACGAATAACAAAAATCTCGAGAATAAATATGAAAACGTTCGTAGCATTTTTACTGCCGACCGATACCAAATTCACTGCTTTGATTTTACATGTGCGTAGACGCAGAATTTTATTGATAAAAAATGATTTAAACAAATAGTCCGCCTAGCTTATTTCAGGCGAGACTTTCATCCTTACTCGCCAGGCGAATAAACGAATTTTCTTTCAGTCGATGGAGATATTTCTCGACGCGTTTTCGCTGAGTGTTGTATATCTCGCTTCGATCGCTATAGAGAATGGTTACGGAGAATTTTCAATAAACTGTTCGACCGGTATTATTCATACAACGGTTTTCATCGAGGATCTCATTTCATCGACCTCGATAAAATCAAGCGATTCGACGAGCTCCGCGGATATTTTACGGCGCGTGATTCTCCGGGTCGTGAATACCAAATTCGCGAATGAAAGTCGATCAGTCGTGTTATTGTTCGATTCGAAGTCGATTGAAACAGTCGAATCAATGTTCCTGTAGTTTTATTTTATTAAGCGAGCAGAATTAACAATTAATCAAACGTAGTAATATAGCGAAGGGCATGATCGAACGATGAAAAATTGTCGATATTTTCAACTGCTATAACTTTGTGAAAAGCACAGAAAGTAAAAACGGGATGTATTCCTCGTCGAGGTTAATACTTCGGGAAATTATGGCGTTGTTTCGCAAACAGAGGAAATTCGTATTGTTGGTTATCGGGCGAAAATTCGACCAAGTGCGCGAGAATCGTGCCGGGTGGCTATCGTTAAATCTAATTGCGATACTGAAATGAGCAAATTGCATCTCTCTCTCTCTCTCTCTCTCTCTTTCCTTCGCGATCATCCTTTTCTGACTCTGTGTTATCTTATTATTCCTCATGGAAATTGCGGCCGTGGAATGAATAACGCAAAGAAGATCCCTCGGCAATTGGATAACGATGTAAGGAACAGAAAGGAATTCGCGTTGCTAATTCCGACACTCGTCCCTCTAAATAAATGTCCGGTTTCCTCCGGTTGTAATCAGTTTCCGGGAAACTGGCGATGTTCTAATTGCCAGCGAAGCCAAATCTGCCTGACTCGCCCGGTAATTTTCAAAATTTTCTTCGCGTCGCGTTTCTCTCTCTGTTATTTGGGTTGAACGATGTTAATCGCGTTAAATCTCTGATTGTAGGAACGAAGTTGATCGCGAAGAACAGGAAGCGTGATTTATCTTGTTCTTTCGCTTGTAATTCTCAATGGGAGAAATCGTGGAGATTCGGGAGCAAATTTTCGTTACAGTTGAATCGAAAGTCCATTCGTCATTTCTTAATGAACTTTGTGCAAATGGAAGGTGAAGATTTTATATTTGGTGGGAAACTCAACACTTGGTGGCTTGTAAAAAGTGTAAGATACCCTGACGATGATCTTATTTCGTGTAAACGCGGATCAGGGGTTGAGGTTAATCGACTCGCATCAGTCGTTCGGAAACGAGGTTCTCGTGAGTATCACAAATATCGTGATCGGACGAAGCTTTCATAAGTAAAAATTATCGAGCTATTTAACTTTTTAAATATGCTTTACACTCTTGTTCAAGATTTCAATTGACAAATTATGCTACGAATTTACATTTTTTCCTAAGATTTTCGCTAGACTGAAAAATTATCCACAATTAATTGAAAGTAACTCAAATTACAATAATTTCATAAAGTAAACTCCCCCCTCCCCCCCAAAAAAAAGAAAAAAGAAAAAGAGAGTGGAGAATATTATAGGATCGAGTTATAAATCCTTTTTCACTGATGTATCGTTCTCGACAGCATTACGGAGACTTCGGAGATTAAATACCCCGCGAGCAAGTATTATGGGTCTTCGTTCTGTGTCTATCCGGAAGCTATACACATCGTACTTGCGGTATCGATCGACGAACGTCACACCCCTTCTACCAGTCGTTCTCTTTTTCCGCTCCTACGAGTAAGGATGTAAGCTTCTATGGGTTCCTAGGCTGCGAACCAGGAGATTTCCTAGCGAGCTCCTTGATGCAGCACGTAACAGTATAATATTTCGCCTCGTATAGACGATAAAGGGACCACCCAGCCGAGCAACGCGACCTTCTAGATCCTCCTTCTAAATCACTTGTTTCGTTGAATTTTTCATGCTGATTGATCATTTCTGATGTCATATATATTTATTAAATATATTATTATATTTTAAATATTATATATGTATATGTATATTTCTTGTAAAAGATAAAAATCTTTGATGGAAGTATGCAAATCAGTCGAAATAGAATGTTCCAAAATACAAAGTATTTAAACTTTGCATGTAAAACTAAGATTGAAACGTCACGTAGTAAAAAAACCCATCTTCGATTTAAAAAGTCGTAACGAAAGTGTGCGTTTAATCAAGTAAAAAGTAAAGAAACCAGCTCGATTGAAACAATTAAAACGATGCTGTTTAATATTCATGGATTTATCCTAATTTGAAATTTAAATGTATTCACACAACGCGTGTAAATTTTTACAAAATATATAAAATAAAGGACTCGTTGCAATACGCAAAGAGAAAGCGCATATTTCGTTTTGTAACATATCAAAGAATAAAACGAATTACTATCCAAGCTCTTCAGGGTCGTGCTCTCGAAAATCTCGAATAACTGCATAAAAAGATGGACGATTACAAATCGCAGACGGATCGAAACTCACCGCTCGAAAAAATTGTTGCATGTGCGCGGGATCCGTGTCGACGATCAATTTGTAGATCTCCTTGTGTCTGACTTCCCGAAGAACCTGCCTATAAGAACCAGGTCCTGCCTGGCGAATGTACATCTCCGTTCTCGAGGAGGGCGGCGACTTCACCAGATCCTGCAGCTTAAACAGACCTGTCAACGAACAAATAGAACTCTGTTATTACACCATTCGGCTACACTGTTCCTATCGTTCTGTCTTTTAAACGAAAAATGACGAGAAGAGAAGTTTCGCGGGAGATAGAGAGAAAAAATAAAAACGGTAGTTCGAGAAACAGATTCGATTCGGCGAGTGTGTCGCCAGGGAACAGAGTTCGAAATGAAATTCGCGAAAAATTACAAGAGGTCTCGCAGGGCTTGGCAGGGAACTTTATTTAATCGGATCTCGGTTTTATTGCCAGTCGGTTTTCATTTCGGCTCTTCTCTACCTTTGTCCTTTCGCATTTATCCGCTGTGGTTTATGGGAACGCGAGACAGAACTTTGACAGAAGCGTACCAGTCTACGAACGTAGATATCGATTAAATTACTTCGGATTTACAGATGAAATATCTTGCGTGTCTTTTCGTTAAAAGTCGCTTGAAATTCTGTAATTAGCGGAATAGAAAATACGAACAGTGAACAGATGTAGGAAAACAGTATGTTAAATTAAATGTGAGAAATAATTAATAGTATATCATTAATGTATTTAATCATTTTTGTCTTTAGACACTCTTTTTCTCTTTAAAAATAGCTCAATAGGTTATTCAATTGGTTTAATTAAATATATTTATTTAATTAAATAAATATGTTAAATACTCAACTAGTATAAATACAAATTAAATATATATATATATAGTTTAATTTAAATATTCAAGTTATTTAAGTTATTAAGCTATTCTTAAAAGGAAAAGAAATGTCCAAAAAAAAAATAAGGTTTAATAACGAGAGTTTAATAATGTTAATGATTTTATAACGACCGTGTTATTTAATATTCTTCCATTGCGTTAAAACTGAGAACATGACTGCATAATAAATGCGTACAACTTCCACTATAATCATAGTATAGAAGTTCACACGTTGCATAATTTATTTTAGTTACCGAAGCAATCTTCCGCAAACACCGAATAGAGTTATCACGACAACAGTTAACTCTGTCAAATATTTCATGCTCTAATTTTAAGTCACTCGCAATCTTTATTTCCTGTGATGTTCTTCCTATGGTTCCTTCGAAGATATACATATATAAATTGATTAAAAATTGAGCAGAAAGACAATGTTAAATATTCTAACCACTCTGTGCACAATTCGTGCAAAAATCCACGCAAACTTTTGAACAATGTTATTTTTGAACTTGTTTTTCACTCGGAATTCAACATTGCAGTCATGGTTACAACTACGAGATGAGGAATTACTAGACTTGTAAACAAAATTTTATTCCTCTGGCATGTGAAACATTTCGAAGCATAGTATTTAAAATAATTGGGAAATTAAATATTGCATCGTGACATATCTGGTCCAAAGTGTCACGCAAATACATGGCGAGATACATTGTCCTCAGATTCAAAGAGCTTAATTTTCGGCAAATACAAATTACTTATTTTCGCGCACAGACAACGCTGCACCATCGACTTAAAAGTGAATAATTTATCGATCGAATTTATGACCGAAAACTAATTTTTTACGCTCTGGGTAATCTACCAAGGGTCTGCGATAAACAATTTCACGCTGGTGGACTGCCGTTATTAAACATCGCGCGTTCTGAATACCGCGTGGCACGGAGTCGAATTTTTTCTGAAATATCGCGTTTAATTAAACTCGCGTAATCGGTACAGGCATTTCAATAATTTTCACACGATGGCACCAGCTCGAATTCTGTTTCGCGGAAGGAAATGAAACGAAACCTCGCTCGAAGGGTGATGCGAAGCAGCGAGTCGAGACGAGAGAATGCCATTTAAGTAATGGGCTAGCCTCTTTCCCCTTAAGAGGGGCGGGAGGGGGGGGGGAGAAAGGGAGAAGGGTTTCCGCTCGAAACGTAAAATTGAAAAATAACAAACCGCTTCTTAGACGCGCTTTTCAATTATCACGCCGCCCTCACGTGCAGCAACGCGTACACGTCGGCTGACCCTTTGTGCGCTCGTGTATAGGTTTCCAGCAACAACGGGGCTGGCTGGAAAACGAGGGTGGAGAAAACGTGAACATATGAGGGGAGGAGGAGGAGGGAAGAGAGTTCCTGGTTTACGAAACGACTCTGTAGTACCGCGACTTGGATGGTTCTCGTGGCTCGTAATTTATGACGGTCTCCGCGATACAAAAAGGTACGTGCAATGGCAAAGAATTTAGCTAGCTTGCCGTCCCCTTTGTCGCGTTTCTCTTTTTTCATTTTTTCTTTTTTTTCTTTTTTTTTTTTTTTTTTTTTTTTTTTTTTTTTTGATACGTAGTTCTCAAATATCAGTTTGGTTGTTTTACTCGAATGATTGATCGATCGCTTGCATGTGTGAGCATTGCACGCTTATAGAAATCAAATCGTACTATTTGAGAAGTTGGACTACAATGGGATATCTTATAATGCAGTAATTCGTTCTGAAATGAATTTTATTTAAGTTAATAACGCTTATAATAATACGTATTTAAGATAATAACATATGCATGTGTGTATTTTTAATAATAAACGTGTACTCTAAAAACATACGAATTATATATTTTATCATATTTTAAATTATAATTAACTGTAATTGTAGTAAGTGAATTGTATTTAAATTTTTATGGTCGTTGTATGCACGTGTAAATTTATGATAAACTGTAATTGCAAAATATATCCTTTCGTTGCCAACGTTCTGATTTAATGAGAAAAACTGATACAGTATTCATTCGTTGTAAGATACCCCACTGTATTTTGATGATATGGTTACCATAGTTCAAAGGGACATTGATTTTTTTAAATTTAAAGTGTAACTTGTCATTTTTGTGTCAAGAATTTTTTTCCTAGTAGAAAACTATCAAAATGGTGATATTTCGTTCTAATTAGATTCATTAAATTCTAAATCAATTAATCTGTCACCTCCAAAATGTCTGACCAAACATTCTCTATGTTACAAACAAATTTTTGCCATTATCCGAACATGGTTATCCATCCTATGGCTTAAAAACTTTTCTCCTGATAGAAAAATATGAAAACGGTGACACTTTTAAATCGTCAGCATTTCTATCCGATTTCAAATCAATTAATCTACAACCTGCAAACAACCAAGATAAAAACCCCGTAATCTAAAAGTCCTTCTGTTCCAAACAGAAGTTGATCGTCCCAAACTTCCCGTCAACGTCCAACTCATCCATATAGAAGTGTATTTCATACATTCTCCTTCGTACATACATATATTTGAACACGGATCTCAAAAGAATTTCTCGAGTGTTCAACCCCCGACGAATGTTAAAAAGGGCCATTCATCCCCTGTGTGTTCGCCCATCGCGATTTAATATTTTCATCATAGGATCTCGCTGTTACGCGAAAAACGCGGCGCACAATGGCGAGCTTTCGACGCGCGGGGATTCGAGCGTCTATTCACGCGAGCTCAACTCCGCGTCTCGTGACTCGATTCGCGGCGGCCAAAGGGGCGAGTCATTCGAGGTTCGAGGATAGAACGTGAGTCGGGTAATTAATCCGATGGAAGAATAATTGGCGAGGTTGGTACAAAGCGAGGTTGGCGAACGCGGCAGAGATACTCGTGCTAGCCTGACTCGATTTGCATAGACGCGCGCGTCTGTAGGCCTCGTGCCTCCGAAACGTAACGCCCAGACGTTAATAAAAGCCTGTTGCTCGGCAACTGTGTCGCCCCATTTGCTTTTCACCTTGCTCCTCGTTGACTTGAAAATTATTGTAGGCATTTCCGAAGGAAGAAGCAGAAACTTTTGAGGTTCTGCAATGGAGCGATTTTTTTTTTTTCCTTTTAGGAGGATTGAAGATTTTTTTCGAAGACCGGCATGCCGGTGACGTGAGTTTTTGAGGAGTGACGACCCTAAACGTACCTGAGTTAACTTTACCGTGGCTGAGGTTTGCAAGGACCTCCTGGGAAGCAAAGTTGTCTGCGACAGGTATGACCAATACGACTTATCACTGGTACCGAGGGGGGTTGAAGGCCACGGTGGGTATTCGATTAGGTTGGACTCTCGGGGGTAGTGGTAAGCCCATGTCACGGAGCGAGAGTCTTCGGACGAGCTGCGTTTCAGTTCGAGCGCAGACCTGCAGAAGGATTTAGGGGTGTCCTGAGGTTGTTCAGAGCTTACACTCCGAACTTACTGATATAGTTCTCGTGAAGCATTCTCTAGGGCCTCGATCTCTTGCCTATGGGGGCCATATCCGGTGAGTCTTAACGATAGGTACGGACACGTTAAATCTACGGACTTTCAATGCATTTGTTATTGTTAGCGATGCATCGGATTGCTCCGAGTTTGTTTGCTGCAAACACTTTTTGGATGCTTACTCCTTTTAATTAATAATATTGCAAGAACACAAAATTGTTTATTTAATTTTATGTATAACAATATGTTTGTCTTTCTCGACTGATTTTAAATTGAAATTCAAACATATTTGTCACTATTATTTATTTATTTTTTTTTTTCGTTATCGACGTCATTTTTGTGATCACCTATGCTTTGTACGTAAATTCGAAGTTCTGATCTGAGATTCGATCCCTATTTGTACTCGTAGCGTCTGCCTAGCAGCTTCGATTAGAAATTTATATTTTCAACGTGACTCGCGTGTATCAAAGAATCGAAATCCTCGGGATAATGCGAAAGTTTAGGAACGAGTTTTTCTTTTGCTCGGCGATGCTTGGCTCGGCTCGGAGCGGCGAAAGTTGATTCACATTTAAACGATCGACCGGCGAGAAAGCTTTGTCGTGCCACGGAAGGCAAAATTCGCCCGCATTTTCGATGAATAGACGCGCTGAAAAATATATTCCATCAGACAGAATGTCGGGGAAATACTCGGCGACACGCTTCAGAGAGAAGGAATTTCCAGACGTCTCAACTCCGGGATCGTTGCACGGGGAATTTATAGCTGTCGCGGAATGCAAGAGGGGGGGGGGGGCAGAAAAAAGGGGACATCTTGTCTTTCTACGGGTCTCTTTTCTTCATCTTACCGAGGGACGTTCCAATTCCCGCTGGTCTTTTGCTTAAACGATTACGTCGTCTAATCAGAAGAAGTAATTTCGGGGAATGATCACTCTCTCTTTCTCTTCGTTTTCGCAATTGAGTAATTTTTAGGGTTCTACGTAGCCTGAATCGGTTCACTTAGAATAATGAAACTTTTTGTTTCTCTCGTACGACTGCCAACGACGGTTGATTTTTTTCTTTTTTTCAGCGTCTGTATTTTTTCTTTTTTTCTTTCTTCGAATATGGAAATGCAAACGCAAGCTGTGCAAACTATTCGTTAAAAACCGCTTTCACTTTCGGTTTGGAAAAAAGAGCTGCAGTTTACTTTTCCCTGCATGTTTAATGTAAAAGCTTTTCACCAAATTCGTTCGCCGCGCGAGATTACTTTAACCATCGTGTGTTTCTTTTCCGCCCCTCCTTTTTCTTCTTTTACACACGCTCTTGCTCGTAAATATTTGAATATCTCTTGATTTCCTGTGAAATGCGAAATTGCATAACGACACACGAGGATATGTATTGTGGAAAATATTTTTGTGCAAAAATGACAACGAGAGAACAATGTAAAAACATTTATTCCGTATAATATATAGTTTGTTTTCAGAGAAACAAAACAGCGCGAACGTCACATAAATTTCAAACTAAATGAAAATCCTTTGATTGTTGCTTGTTTTTCTGATAACGAATGGTACCATAAATAATACAATAAAAGAATCTCGATATTACAAGATAAATAAAAATTCGTGCTCATAGTTCTCGAATCGGTTCCGAGTACGATATCACTTTCTAAATAAAAATAAATCTCTTGATTATTTTACGAACACGTACAAATAATTTCTTTTCAGAAAAAAATCTATGATAATTGAAACTCGAGGCATGCTGAAGAAGCAAAGTTCCGCTATAATGCAGTAAAACGAAAATTGATAGTACAATAGAAATAAGAATTGATACTCATAATTCTCTAATCATTCCTTCACTTTCTTGCAAGTGTCTTAATTCTTCGCGAACAGAGATGAACAGGTACTTCCTTAAAAAGAAAATCCACGATAGTGGAATTAGAGGCTCGAGGCACGTGGAAGCAGCCACAATTTAATTTCGACAAGCGTGATCGACTGGATTGATTCGTTCGCCAAGTTACTTGGTATTGTGCTCTGTCGTCTCTGGGCAAAAAGCTCGAGGGATGGAAACTTGCGAACTCGTTAGCCAGAAGTACGTTGACTTTAGAAGGTGTTAATTAAATGAGAGCAACTTTAGAGCAGCAAGGTGAAGAACTCGGCTGGTCTGGCCCTGAAACTCGAAGTTAATAAACCTTGGCCTTGGCGAGCTTTGTGAGGTCAAGAAGAATGGTCTGCCCTCGGTGGATTGAGGTAACGCTCTCTGTCTCGGTAATATTTGACTCCCAAATATTAAACAATCCTTCGCCGATCTCGTGATTAAATCTTGCGCGTTTAAGTCGAGAAACGAAACCGAGAGAAAAATATCAAAAATCTGGGGGAAGTTCATCTGAGAAGAAGGATAATATTGAAACTTCAAATACTACGACCTTGCGAGCTGAAATGTCGGCCGTGAAATTGAAATCTATATTCAACGCTGCACGAGAGTTTCGTGATCGTAAAAGTATCGTAATTATTTCTAAATTAGAAAAATTAAACATCGTACTTTATGCTGATATTAACATCCCATCGTGGAAATTCATTGATTATCCGGGGACGAAGGATATAAAGAATTTGACGAATCGTGTGATTTTATGCATGGAATAGAGAATAGAAAGTTATTACCTTACAAATTTCATTCATGAGGAAACCTTTGAAATATAAAATCACGGTTTGTGTAGAAAACTTCTCATGCATTTTTCTGAGGAGTACCAGTGTTAAATTAGAATTGCGTTATAATTAAAATTGTATTAAACCAGAGTCGTATCATATGGGACCATTACCATATGGCGTATAATTAATTATACGAAAGAATAGTGATGGATGAAACATCCATTTACTCAAAGAACATTACTGTTTCTTTTGAAATTCCAACGGGCTTGAAATATGGAAACGAGCATGAGGAATTTGACGACGAAAAGGAATGACAAATTGCAAGATTTGTTCCTGTGCGTGTGAATAAATTGCGCCACGATTTACGAAGTGTAGAGTTAATGCTTTGCAAACTTAATCGTGACAAAGTTTGTGATATATAAAGTGGAAGATGAAATTGTAAAAACCAGACTAATCATGAAGCGAAGAATCGATATCACACGAACCTCATAAAATCGAAGATTATCCAGCGACATCTGCACATCCAAAGACACGGGTAGGTGGAAAAGGGGAAAAAAAAAAATTTTTTTTTAGCGATAATGACAAACGGCGAGATTTTACGCACGGCGAATAGGTTGGTTGCGTGTGCGTGCAGTTGACAGGTCGACATTTCAGCGTCGCGTCGGCATCCACTTCCGCCGGCTGACTCCGACGTCCTATTTGCATAGGGATGCATCGCGCCGACGTGACGCTCACGCTGCTCGTTGTTGGAAAAAAAGAGAAAAAGAAAGCAGAGAAGGGGGAAAAGGGAAAAAGTGCACGAGGAAAGCAAGAGCGAAACAAAACGAGTGAGGGAGGAGGAAAGGAACAGCGTAATAACTAGTCTATACGACAAGGGATCCACGAGAGAGCGGTGTTGCGTGACTCCTTAGAGACCGGCACTCGTATGCTTGCAAATCCGCCGGTACCTGGGACGTTTGCTTCATTGTTCGGATGGCATCGTTCCACTCTTCGTCGCGCGAGTTTCACTTTCCATCGTCCCGCGAAACATAATGCTCGCACGCAATAAAATTTGCGTTTTAAACAACTCGTTTAAGTAACTTGAGCAACTCGAAATAAAAGTACGAGCGTAAAACGTGCAAGTGTCTTTATTTACGTCTTTTGGATTTTATTACAATTTAATACAATTGGGTTGAAGTAGAAAGTAATTTCGTATTTCGCGGGTAAATGTCGTTGACAGGAAGTATCTATACTCGCGTGTTTTTCTAAGAGATTATGCTTTCCTGTGTATTTTCGACTGCCGTTTGTTACATTATATTCAGTAATTTTATTTGGACATTGTCAATATGTGAGCATTATTTTCAACGTTTAATGCTTTTTCATCTCTAAAAAGAGTATTCGTATGGGAAATTGGTTTGCGAAATTTCGGGTTGGTGAAGCTCCAGAAAAAAACCGGGAGGTTCTGGGGAACATGAAATTTTGAAATTATCAGAAAGATGATGAAAAGTTGTCAAACAAAACGGTGCATGTATTGTTTAATAAAATTCTTTTTTAATACGAGAATTCTATCGTCTAATTTCACCTAAAGATACGAAATTATTTTTTACTCAATCCAATATATTTAGTCATCTTCAGTGCTAACTAACGAATTATATTTAATCCTCAGAGTCGACAGATTATAGGTGACAGTAGAGTGGAGTTGTTCATTATATTTTCTATTTCCACTGTGACATAAATAAGACTAAACGAAAGATTCCAAAACTAGGAGTTTAAGCCTAAATTATTATGATTTTCATGTAGAAGAGTCGTCAGAGGTCGTTAAAAGAAATAATTGGACACTCACCGTAATCTTCCTCGTAAATGATGGCCACCCGGGTCCAATTTAAAAACGACATGAGATCTTTGAAGGCTTTGTTCAAATGGTCCTGCGAGGGATAGAGGTTTATGCTGAACTCTTTGAACGTTGGCTCGAAGTCGACTCTAGCCTCCAGATGCGGGACGTCGAGAGCTTCGCAGATACTCTGGATGTGGGCGCCCAGAAGAGGATCAGACGGGCCGAAAATCCCTTGAACCGATCTGGACAGCTGCTTGCACGCTGCAATAGCAAACAATGACTTCAACAAATACGTTTAATCGTCATATTGAGTTTTATGAAATTTCGAAATTTCTATTTTTTGACGTTGAGAGGAAATTTCTTGTTTCCTTTTTTTTTTCTTTTTAGTACCTTTTCATCGTCGTGTTCTCCTACTCTATAATTTTATGAAATTTTGAAACATTTTGGCTATGAAAGAAAATTTCAAGGATCTGTTCAGAGTTTCCTAGAAGTTTCAAAATTTTATTTCTATTTTATTTAATTTTTGTTTCTAAAGAAAATTTAGAGGATTTACTAAGTGTTTCCCATCAAGATTCTGTGATTTCGTGAAGTTCCAAGGAATTAAAGTGTTTGTAACGCTATGATAAATCATTGCCTGGGTGAATTAAAACGAGGTATTCTCTTGTCTGACTGTAACGTTGCATCATAAATTGCAATTTATCTGCACAAAACAAACATATAGACGATCGTTTATACGTAGAAATTAATTTATTTTTGGTTCATTTCAAAAGAACTATTCACTTCCTCATTCATCTAACATAATCGTATTTCTGCGAGCGGGGAATTCATTCGACTTAAATGCCGCTGAAAATTCCAATTACACGCATGTAGTCATCTCAGATTAACATATTATTCAGTTTAGAGGCACACGTTCGAAATATTTGACAAAAAAAAAAGAAGAAAAAGAGAAAAATAAAAATATATGGAACATGTTGGGAAAATGAAATAAAAATTAGTAATTAATAAAGCCTCTTTGCTTTACAAGAGCATTGAAAATTATCGAAAACATTCAATGATCAAATTCGATGGCCTGTAGGACTATATAGGAGATTTTTACAAACAAGATTTTTACAACAATAACAATTTCATTAGCAATCTCATATTCAATAAATTCATTAAATCTTTTTCGATCAATAATTTATCACGGTGAGATGGTGACAAATTTAAGAAAATAATATAATTGTGATTTCCCTGTACATTTCGATTTAGTTCATACAATCCAATTTACACCAATTATTATATTAATAATTATTCAAAATCAAGTTATACCTGGAACGATTCCTAATAAAAATTTCCCTTTGAATGTCAGAAATCTCTTCGAGATAAACGTTCATTCTCCATTTTAACTGTTCATTTTCAAGACCAAAATACTGCTTTCTTGCGAAATAGGAAATTTCATTTATCCAGTCTGTTTTTTTTTTCACTATCGCAAACTTCAGATGCTTCAAACACCATCACGAGCCGCTATATCTCAATCGACAAATCAAACAAAGTTTCGCGAGAGCCAAAGATATAATTATGCACGATATTCCCAGAGTTAAGCTTCTTGTATATCGCTGCTCTCTTCCAAAGCCATTTATCGAAAGTCAAGCGTAACACGGCAAGAAATAAGGATTCCGTGGCGTGCACCAAAGTGTTACGGGTAATCCGGTGAATCGGAGTTTGCTGCCGGACGTAGCAGCTGGTAACGACGGGGAAGAACGTTCGTCGGAGAGTCGTAACACGCGCGTTTGCGCCGGTTTAAGTCACACTAAACGAAGGAAACACGACTTTAGGCAGTAAGTTAGGAAGCAAGTTGTTTCGAGCGTGGCGAGGAAGGCGGCGAAGTTTCGCGTCAATCTTTTTCTCGGCTGGCCGCGATGAAAGTTTACGAGAAGATTACCAGGGAATGCGGTGTAGCGAAGTCGCCAGGCAAGAGACACGGATTCTCCGTGGGTCTCGAGCGTGTCCCCGCTGGAAATATGAAATCGGCGTGTTATCGGCAGTTCTCATCGTATTTCCATTTCCACCGGTTCTCTGCGAGTTTTAAATTCCGCTTCGACACCATTTACGCGACGTCGGGGTGTTAACCGTTCGAAGGTCTGACGGATCGAGCCCATTTTTTTGACACACGTTTTTCCTCAGTTCATCGCAGCGGATTATGCGATCCCTCGTGATTTACGATTCAGAAATTGCAGTTTTCCTCGGATGTTTATCGTTTGATTTCATTCACGTCAGATTCATGCGAAAGAAATATCAGTAGTATCATCCATGCAGACTAGAACTGTCATAATCAACTCGTCGAAATTTACAACCGTGTTCACTTTGAATGATTTTCGTAAACTGTAGAAACGAAAGCTCGGGTTCTTTTTTTTTTTTTTTTTTATTGTGTTGTAAATTTTTCCTATTCCTCGCACATTCGTTTCTCCGATGCAAGTTTCATTATATTACACTATCAGTAGTTGTAGAGAGATATTTTTGTTTCCGTCATAGGTATAGAGAAGTTTAATAGAAAAAAATTCTGCTGCTATTTTCTCTGTGCAATTTTATCGCTATCCCAATTTCTTTTTTACTTTCTCAATTACTGTCAGCGAGTCGTGACAGGAAACCAGTTGAATCATTCTTCACATCATGAAAAATCCCAGACTTTGTCAAATCGATCAAATCGTCATCCCCATACACGAGACGCGCGGATCGGGAAACATTTTCATAGCGCGCTAGTTTTCCGCGACGGTGCGTGATATTTTTCCATCGACTGCGCCCATATTCGACGCACGGTTCGCTTATTAATCGGAGCATACACGGGCACCGATAGTTGCCCGGCGTGACCGTGTCGATGATTTACGAGCCCGGTGTATGTGCGCGCGGGCATCGCGGAAAATGGACAGGAAATTGATACGTTATCAAGACCGACGTCTTCCTGATCCATTATCCGCGAGATACCTTCGGAAACCAGGCTTGTTCCCTTCTCCTCCCTTTCGCGGAACGATCGTTGGCTGGCACGCGTGCAAAGATCGCGCAGCGATGGATGAGCTCGATCTCGAAAGTGGGATTTCGCGCCGCGTGTTCTAAGTGTTACTCCCTGCCCCTCTCCTTCGCCATTGCTACGTGCTCGTTGAATTATTCACGCTACTCCGTCTCTCTTTTCTTTTTCCTCTCGCCCTCCCCACCTCACCGTTTGACTCACGATCGGCAGCCGTGCCTGACTCATCGTTTCTGCGTTTAACGTTGCCGGTTTTACTTAACGCGCGATCGAAAGCTCGTTAAGCAACGAAATCCTTGGCCAGGCGAGGCAATACCTCGCCGGAAGGAAATTAAATTCGATCGATTCGATTGCCTGTGGATTCCTGATCGATGCGCGGAACGTTGCGCGTACAGCGTGACACGGAGATTGATTCAACAAAAATTGATTCTCTATTTTCGTGATCCATCCTGTCGCGAGGCAATCGTCAGTTTTATTCGCAGTCGTTGGCACTTGCACGCTGGAGGATGCAGCGAAAATTCGAGACAGCCAGTCAGCCTTTTCACTTTACTGTCTTGTCGCGCCACGAACGACCCCGAGATTCAGTGAGTTCGTCGTCGTTGCTTCCTTCCCCCTTGAATACACCGTATTCTCGACATTGGTAAATAAGTCTCGTTACTTCGTTACGATGTTGCTCTTTCGGTTAACGAACCGACGCTGTCTCGACACCGTCGCGACACACCAAACACGGAAACGCTCCGAATGATCAGTCATCAAGCTTCCACTATCCGAGCACTTCCATCGGAGCGCGATCTCCGAGAATGTCTCGAGGAGACTCGAACACCAATAATTTATCAAATTTCGCCAAGATCAATATTCTCGAGTACGAATTTTTTTTGGAGGAATGTATGAATCACACACGATTTCTTTTGTTTGAGAAAGTCTTGAAGAGTTTGAAAATTCGTGAGGTACGCTTGATTCTTGAAGTAGTATCGTTGAAGATTAGTTAATTAAAGATTAAATAATACGAATATAAAATGTGAAGTTTTAGTAGTTTAATGTAAATTATTACCGTCGTCTATAATTCAGTTCAACGGGAATTAAATTTAATTACGAGTTGGATAAGATTGAAAAATTCCCGAATTATTCCATGCAAATTTCCACTCGAAGCCTCGTTACCAAGAAAATAGACGTTACACATATTTAGTTAAAATTTGACTTGCACATCCTCGATCTATTTGCGATTTTATTATCTCGTGAATACGAAAGGTGTTATGAGAAACAAATATATATTTATTCTACCTTTTTAGGTGGTTTTCGTACGTAGATCATCCAGACCAGAGTTAGTCAAATTTGACAAATTTTTCGTTTCTCTCGAAAACAAAGTTGAAAAGAAAATCCCCGCCTGACAAATCGCGCGACGATTATTTCGCAGCAATTACGTTAAATAATCGAAAAAAATTTATCTCCGTAAATTAATGTGGCATTTGATATACATTTCACCGGTAATCGTGAACGAAGCTTCATTTATTATCGATACAATCGATCACCCGAGTGAATAATCATAGTAGAAAGCATCGCAGCGCCATCAATAAGACAGACAAAATTGAACGTAAATCTTCATTACGACCAGGCCATTAAAATCGCTCTCTCTTCATTCATCGAAAATAACCGGCGATAATTTTACACAAAAATACTCCTCTCTCTCTCTCTCTCTCTCTCTCTCTCTCTCTCTCTCTGCGAAAGTTTCTCGCGCTCTAGTTTTCGTTTAACGACGAAGCAAACTGGTGATTCGCGACGATCGACGACAGTCGCCGGAGAGTGCATTGACATCCAGAAATGGCTTCGTCACTAATTTCCGCAGCTCGTTCGTTCGTCCCAGCCGCCATTTGCGTATGTACACGATGATAGGAACGGAGGGCCAAAGATCGCGTAACAATGTGGAGTTAACGGTCACGTTGCGCGTGAATTCACCGTAGAAAAATCCCGTGCCGGTTTCATTATGTAGGCAAAAGGCTTTCGAAATAATGGGAACGAGTGGGGCCAACGCAAGCGATTGAAGCGACCTTAAACGTTGCCTTTTCAATTTCCTTGCGTTTCCGAGCAAGTGGAAATTCGAAACAGCAAGAAACTCGAGAAGCATCGATAATTAGAAATATATTTCCAAATTGGAGAAAAAAAAAAAACTAGAAAGTCGAGAGACCGGAAGAGAAGAAATTTGTAAATAATTGAGATTGGAAAGGTTTGCAAGTTGCAAAATTAGGGAGTTCAGATGCCTTCG